GCATGGGCTACATGTTTAATTCCAGGCCAGCCAGAGCTCCATATCAAGATCTTCTCTCTCAAAATCCAACAGCAATAAAAATCAAGTAAGTACCAAGTCCACAAAGGAATCAATGCCTTTTTAAAAACTTACTTATTGTGCAGTGTTAGGGTTATATATACTTTTTAAAATGGCAGTCTGGGTATTTCTGTGCTCCCAAGTGTTGTGACATGAAGCACTTAAACACATTGAAGACTAGAAAACTAACCACCATGCTTGGCCCTACCTCCTGTGTAGTTAGGGCAAGCATTCAATGCTTCAAGGTGTGTCTCAGTCTGTGTGAAATAAGTGGGCATACACTGTGCCCACTGATGATCAAGTACAATGTATCCTGCTCCGCTTTGAAACTTCAATGCACACACAAGCCAGGGTTATTGTTATCAAGCAATATTGCTTTTAGATGACAGAGGAAAAAAAAACCCAATCACAAAGTTTCCACAATGTTTTAGGCAGTTGTTGGACATCACAAAGATTATATTGACTTGATCATGTTTGCAGGCTTTGTCCTTTGGTTTCAGGGGAAATATTTCCTTGGCACCCTTCCCCCAACACAAAAATTCTCTTTTAAAGTAGAAGTATGCACTAAGGACCCACTTAATAAAGGACACTGAAATAGAAATTAACTGAAGTCTGCTTTCAATTAATTTCAATTCCCTGAAGCGCCGAAATTTCCATTTTGGTCCCAGAAGTAGTTGGAAAGTAATAGGCAAGCCTGGGTGTTTTAACCCTTACATGTATGGGGATGGGAAAGGCATACATTCTAGGTCACTCTGGGGGAGGGCCAGGAGAGCCTCTAGTCTTCTTCAGCTCCCTGTTAATTTTACTATGCAATTTTTCAGTTAATTTCATAACAGTATGGCTGTCCCTTTTAAGGTATAAATTTCCATGTTTATGTTTCTCTATATTGACAATTTTAGAATCTTTGCTTTTGAACAGCAGCAGAAACAGATTGGAAAAGAAAATCTTTTCCCAAAATTACCATATCTGAATCAAACAATCATGCAGATGGGTGGGGAGACATGGAAAGTGGGACAGGAATGCTACCCAAAGTACTCGGGAACACCTGGTAGATCTGGAGCTGTAGCTCAGCTGGAAGAGTGCTTTGCTTGCAGGAAAGATCCAAGTTCAGTGCTCAGGACTACACAAACCAGACATGGAGGCGCATGCCTATGATCCCAGCACTTGAGAGCTAAAGGCTGGGGATCAGAAGTTCAAGGGCATCTTCAGCTACATATGAGTTTGAGGTCATCTTAGAGAGATGGGTCACTTGTTAAGAATGCTTGTTGCACAAGCACAAGGACCCTTGTTCTGATCCTAGGACTCTTGTAATGATCTGGGTATGGACACCCAACCCAGTATGGTAGCCAGTGGAGACAGATCTCTGCCAGCCTAGCATAAAAGCAGGAGCTCCAGGTTCAAGGACAGTGACAGAGGAGGAGCAGCTCTTCCTGCCTCTGTCTTGACACTCACACACTCATACACAGACACATGCATCCATACGCAAACATATAAATAACAGAGACAGAGAGACGAAGAGACACAGACAATGACAGAGACAAAGAGACATGGACAGAGATCAATCCTGGAGATCCCAAAGAGTGCAAGGAGGAAAACATTGCTTTATATAGAGCTCAGCATGACCAAGGGCTCTACAGATGCTTCCTAAAACCCTAGCAGTATTCCCTCACAGGTCTGCCAAAACCTAGATGTGTTTTAAAGGCTAGCACTGCAATTGTGGAGATGCAACAAAAAGAAGCTAAAGGGAATGAAGACTGGCTAGGGGCATTTATTTACTTCATGGTAGACAGTGAGTCAAAGGCTATCAAAGTCAGAGTAAAGAATTCCAGGGGACTAGGGACATAGCTCAGTGGTAGAGCACTTGCCTCAACCTGAACCTACATTGAACTGAATCCCTAACATCACATTAACTAACTAACTAACTAACTAACTAACGAACTACCTACCTACCTACCTACCTAACTAACTAACTAACTAACTAACTAACTAATTCCTGGGCTCAGAGAGTAAGGGATTCTCAGTACAGAATGGGCAGCTTACTACAAGAAAGATCTCAAGGGGAGTTACACAATCACCACAAGATTTTTCTAGAAAAGTCATGCTACTTTCCCATGTGATCTTGCTGTTATTCTCCCTTTAAAAATGTGCTTTTCAATCTATATTCTTCACTAGCAGGAGCATATGCTTCAGTGTAGAAATTCCCTCCTGGAGAGTTGAGTGTGATGGTGCATGCCTGTAATCCTAGAAAGTTGGGTCGAGGCAGGGGAATCATAAGTTAGAGATAGGGATACACATGGTGACAGTGATAACCAGGTAACTACTGTAAGAATAACAGGGAAGACAATGGCATTACATTTCTTTCTTCTTCATTTTTCAAGACAGGTTTGCTTTCTGTAGCCTTGGCTGTCCTGGAACTCACTCTGTAGACCAGGCTGGCCTCAAACTGGTCACAGAGATCTACCTGCCTCTGCCTCCCAGGTGCTTGGATTAAAGGCGTGTGCCACCACCGCCAGACAATAAGTAAATATTTTACATTTCCATAATTAACAAAGGAATTCAGTATGATAGGTGACACCGTAGCTCTGAAATACACACATTTTCCTTTTTTTTTTTAGGACATGGAGTTTTTGTTTGCTTGTTTCCAATTAGTTACAGGTCAGAAAACTATATCTTCAGATGTAGATTATCCATAACAATTTGACTTTACATATTTCAAGATCTCCCCCCACAAATAGCAGCAGAATTACACCTAACAATAATTTAAAACATTTTGTGGAAGTGGTTCAGTCAGTAGAGTGCTTGCCTAGCATGCATAAGGCCCTGGGTTCAATCTCCAGCACCAAAAACAAACAAATAAATCCAAAAAACCCCAAACAAAACCTGGGCATACTGGCACATGCTTGGAATCTAGCATTCAGGAGGTAGAGGCTAGAGGATCAGAACTTCAAGGTCTCCTTGGCTGCATAGTTTGAGACCAACCTGAATACATGAGACCCTGTCTATGAAGGAAAAATAAAAAGCATTGTGCTCTATGTCGTGTGTCCATCAAGCCTGAAATGTGGGAGACTAGGAGAACCTGGCACCTTCAGTCTTTGTAGTGGGAAGCTCATGAGGTGGAGGAATTCATCAAAGACAAGAAAGGGGGGGGGGCTGGAGAGATGGCTCAGAGGTTAAGAGCACTGACTGCCCTTCCAGAGGCCCTGAGTTCAATTCCCAGCAACCACATGATGGCTCACAACCATCTGTTATGAGATCTGGTGCCCTCTTCGGGTGTGCAGATGTACAAGGAAGCAGAATGTTGTGTACATAATAAATAAATAAATAAATAAAATCTTTAAAAAAAAAGACAAGAAAGGGTTAAAATACTGAAAGGGGGAAATGCAGAACAGCTAAGTGAGGCCAAGGTGAGAGTTCTCTACTCCTTTGTGTTAGACTGCATTCTGAACTTGGAGCTTCAGTGTCCAGGGATCACAAAAGGCTGCTCACATTTGTTAAGCTTCTTCTGGGAACAAAGGAATCTACCAGATGCTGAAAATGGTGAAATTGGTTTATTGCCCTTCTTTCTTTGATCAGGTTTTCCTCCTTAATGTAATTTTCCTAAACAGCAAATTGCTAATAAAGCCAGTAAGCCTTAATTAATGGGTTGGATCCAAAGGACAATGTAGCTTTTTAAAAACTACCATATTGCCAGGTTGTGGTGGTGCATATCTTTAATCCCAGCACTCTGGAGGCAGAGGCAGGCAGATCTCTGAGTTCAAGACCAGCCTGGAGTACTTAGTGAGTTCGAGGACAGCCAGGGCTACACAGAGAAACCCTGTCTCAAACCAAACCAACCAACCAAACAAACAAAAATCTACCATATTTTTGAGTAATAAATTCTATAGTTACAAAATGATATTTGCTGGCTAGTGAGATGGCTCAGCTTGTAGAAACACTTGCCTTAAAAGCCTGGTGACCTGAGTTTGACCCCAGGACCCATATAAAGGTGAAAGGAGAGCCTGACTCCACAAGTTGTCCTCTGTGCACTTCATGGTATGCACCTTTCCCCAATAATAACAAATTAAAATATCTGACTTTAAGGTTTTTTGTTTGTTTTCCAGACAGGGTTTCTCTGTGTAGCCCTGGATGCTCTGGAACTCACTTTGTAGACCAGGCTGGCCTTGAACTCACAGAAATTTGTAGGCAGAGCTTTTATGCCACCAGCTGCTCCCCAAATAACTATACAGGGACTTAATGTTAATTATAAATGCTTGGCTAATAGCTCAGGCTTGTTTTTAGCTAGCTCTTATAACTTAAATCAACCTGTATTGTCTACTCTTTCTGCCATGTGGCGGTACCCTTTTTCAACACAGCCTGTTCATCAGCTTCATCGGTGTTTCCTGGCCTCTCCTCAGACTCCGCCCACCTTCTCCCCAGCATTCTCTCTGCCCTGAAAATCCTGACTAGCCCTTGGCCAATCAGTTTTTTATTAATCAATGAGAATAATACATATTTACAGTGTACAAAGATTGTTGCACAGTAGAGATCCTCCTGCCTCTGCCTACTGAGTACTGGGATTAAAGGTATGTGCCACCACACCCAGCAAAATTTTCCTTTTTAAAAGTAATTTATTTATTTTTATTTTATGTGCATTTGTATTTTGCCTGCATGTATGTCTATGTGAGGATGTTGGATTCCCTGGAACTGGAATTGCAGACAGTTGTGAGCTATCATGTGGGTCCCGGGAATTGAACCTGGGTCCTCTAAAAGAGCAGCCAGTGCTCTTAACTGCTGATCCATCTCTTCAGCATCTGACTTTAAGTTAAAGGTTTACTCAGTTTAGTAATTTACTCTTCTGAAATTGTTTAGCTTTCAACTGTGCATGGTATTTAAAAGCTAACCCATAGAACTAGTCTAGTATCTTCGGTAGTACTACTAGTTATCTTTTATTCTTTGATTGTTAGGTGCAGGGAAGGGGAGGTGGCTGGATCCAGGACGAGGATGATGCAATGCTGAAGAGTGAGCTGGAGGAGAGAAGCAGCAGGCACCATGGAAAAAACCAAAACAAAGCAAGGTCAGAGCACCATCTTGATTCTGAGCTGGGGATTCAGGGAATGCAGGAGTTAATCTGTCTTGTCACTGTTTTCAAATATTATTTTCCCATCATCACCTTGGAGACCTTAAAAAACACAGACCTGCTGGAATGCAAAAAAATGCTATCGATGTAACATATGGCTTGAGTCCTTTTCTTTTTGCCTCAGAGATGACTTAGGACTGCCTCAGGACATGTGGAATAAGGTTCATCACTCTAATACACACCCAGCACCTTCTAGGCCCTCCTAGAAGAACAAGTGGATTTCCTTTTCATTGCTTACTAGCAGAAGCAATGTATAGAAGTCACTCTGTTATTGTTTCCAATGGAGAAAACAGCCATAGGGCAATCAGGAGACAACTACAAAGTGTCAAATTTAGGCCTGAGGTCCTGGTCCATATGTCTCAGTCTTGTTTGGACATAGTATTAAATGGGCTAAATTGTCCTTACTCAAGCTTGTATGAGGAGGTTTGGTAATCTCGAACCACTAGGATTTAACAGACACAGCCTCTACCAGGTACAAGGTCTAGGCTAAGGTGATACATTAATTATGACCTTACCATACAGAGGCAGGCTCCTCTAAGTAGGGCTTTCCATACCAATATGTCTAAGGAGTTTCACAAGACTTGCTTGTGTCTTACAATGTGTGTGACCTTTGTGCAATATGGGAGTAGTGTAAAATACTCTGAAAGATAGTTTATAAGCCAACCTGGTTTTCTCCCTAAGTTGTAAGTGATTTTTACAGCCTGCTCTATCAACCCTGTGTTTCCCTGTGGCTCCAGACTCCAATAGTGGCAATAGTTTTCTTTCTGCCTATAATCTTACAGAAACTTCCCACCGATAATTCCTTCCCATCAGCCCCCCTGCCTAGTTGGGCAAGAATCCCTCTGCTGATTGTTGCAGTGAGATGAGGGCAGAATGTAGAAGTTTGGCAAACAAAGATCGTAGAGAGGTAGAAGTAGGAACATTTTATGTTATAGCCAGGCACCTATGTGGTTGACTTATCTCCTTTTCCTGTGGCTATTCTGACCAAAGCGACTTGAGGGAGATGGGTCTTATTTGCTCATAATTCCAGATTCCAGTTGATCGTGGCAGGGAAGTCATGACAGGAGGTGCCTGAGAGAACCAGTCACATTACAGCCATACATAAGAGCAAAGAGCAGCACATTAGTGCTTGCCCTCTCCATTTTCTTTTTAAAAATGCTTTTTTTCTTTTTAATGTGCAGGAGTGTTTTGCCTGCATATATGTTTGTGCACAACCTGTATGCTTGGTGCCTGCAGAGGTGAGAAGAGGGCATCATATCCCCAGGACAGGAGTTGGCTGTGAGCAATCATGGGGGTGCTGGGAACCAAACCTGTGTCCTCTGCAAGAGCAGGGAGGGCTGAGCCATCCCTCCAGCTCCTTGTGCTCTCTCTCCATTGTATACAGGCCAAGATTTCCACTCTGCTCGGGGAATGGCACTGTCCTGAGTTAACACGAGTCTTTCCTCATGAATTAACTTAACCATGGCAATCCCGAGAGGACATTCTCAGAGGCCAACCCTAATCTAGACAGCCCTTCGCAAGTGTTCCCAGAGGTTTGCCGCCAAGGTGAAGAATTAACAATTACTACCAACTGTAACCCTGGCAAAGAGCAGATGTCAGCTCCGATAAACTTCAGTCAGCCCTAAGAATGTGAGGGAGACACTCCAGGGCATCCCCTTCTAGCCAGTTAATGACTGCTGATCACTGGGTTTGGTAGAGAAACTTTTCTTTTGTGGCAAGAAAGGGTTTTCTACTATGATAACTTTGTCAGGTAGGCATAGTTTGGTCATTAGGATATAATAGCATCACTGGCACTGGTTTATTTATTTAGTTTTTTTGTTCCAGAATCATCTGGTTCTTGTCATTCAGACACAGAGGATCCTCTAAATGTGTTTATTCCCTCCGTGTATCCGGTAAGAGTAGGTCAGGCACAGATTGAGTTGTGGCAATTGAACAAAGCTCTTTCTTCCAACAGGAGAGAATGAACATATGCCGGTGAATAACCCTTCCACACAGATTTATCAGGTAACAACAAAATATTTCTTTTTTCTTTTTTCGAGACAGGGTTTCTCTGTGGCTTTGGAGGCCATCCTGGAACTTGCTCTTGTAGACCAAGCTGGTCTTGAACTTACAGAGATCCGCCTGCCTCTGCCTCCTGAATGCTGGGATTAAAGGCATGCGCCACCACCACCCAGCAACAACAAGTATGTTATTGTGAATACCGTCATGTGAATAGTGGTGACTGTCCTTCACACACAGCAGTTTTTAACACTTAAGTCCTTCCACCTGTGCCCTGACATTTGTTCTGTGAACAAGGCCAAAGGACAGGCAGGGCAGAGGCCACTCACATTATTCCTTTGAGAGAACTGGTTGCCAGAGGAAAAGTTATTCCATTTGTAAAACACAGCACCTATCTCCACACCAGCTCTACTTTTCCTGTTTACACCACTGTCACTGTGGTCATCACACCAGACAATGAATGGCATTGTCATCAGAGAGGACACAGGAAAAGCCACCTTTTTTCAGCCAGGTGTGGTGGCACATGCACATCATAACCCCTAACACTGGGAACCTTAAGACACGAGTTTAACAAGTTCAGGGCTAGCCTAGATTATATAGCAAGACCTTTCGTGATGTTTTTCTTAATTACACCCCCCCCAAGGGAGAACTGAGAATTAAGAGTGTTAGCATTAGAAACATTCAAGTATGGTGACAGGAAAAAAAATTAAGTTCATTTTAAATGATGGCAATAATTAGATTCTTTACAAAGACAATCATGACAAGCATTCTAGCAGGGCCTGGGGCGGGAGAAGGCTCTTTTTTTTAACATTTGTTTATTTACTTATTAGTGTATGTCTACGTGTGTCTCTGTGTGGCATATGTGTATGGCAGTCAGTTGACTCCTTCTACCCTGTGTGTCTCTGGGATAGAACTCAAGTTGTCCGATTTCAGAGGCAAACACTCCCATTTACTGAGCAATCCCACCAGTTCCTTAAGTTGGGTTTTTAGGCCCTTTCAAGCAGGAAGACAAGAGTCCGGAGGAGCAGACAGCTCGGGGGAAATATTATTTGGATTAGTTGAGTTTGAATCCTGGAAAAGGCAATACAGCAGCTAGCTCCCAGAAGCACTCTGCAAGTTGATTGCTATGGACCTAACTAGAGCGAGCCAACAGCAGGAGAGAAAAACATCCTTAGCTATGTAGCTCTTAGATAAGTAATGGGAGGGAGCAGAAGAAACAGCCTCCTTTCAATGTCATTTATATTTGGAGAATAGTTTCATGCAAAATCTGCTGCCTAGCCTAATGGGAAATTAACTGGACTTCATTGGAACGGACTTCATTGTTTGTTTGTTTTTGAATGTCCACAACCTCGAAAGCACATCAGTATATCCACAAATGGCCCATACGAGGTATGGGTTTGAAAAGGCTGCAGTGAAGGCATTGATATAATTCAGTAGGGCAGAGATGGGTTGTTGACTGCAAGACTTGAGCAACGTATCCAAGGACAAGCCAATCACTGGACAGTGGACTACAAAGAAAGACTACTTCTGACAGGGTGATCAGCCTGAGCAGAGCCTGGGGTGGAGGTAGGTTTCCTCAATGCTGATGTGATACCTCACTGGTCCAAGGCCTCTAGATGCCTTCTATGCTCAGCTGTGTTCTCTGACCTGCCTATGGCCTTTGCATGAATGTAAGAGCCTCTTTAGAGTCAGGTATGATTTGAAATCTATTATAAATATGTGGGTTGCTCCCTTGATGTATGCTAAATTTAGCTGCAGAGGGGATGGCCTCATTATTGCGCTGTGTCACAAATCCAAGTGCATCTCTTCACACTGGAGTGCTTGGAGCCGGGAAAGAGCATTTGGTCTATGTGGTCTCCACTGTGCCTTGATGACCCCATCTTTGTTTTAAAAGAACATTTCCCAAGTCTGTTAATTCCAAGCAACTTTTAACCAAAAGAAGGAGGTGCAAAGAAAGAGGACAGAGGGCAGGAGGGTAGGTAACTATAAGGGAATATGGTCTGCATTATAAGGGACAACAGAACTGAAAGAAAATGTGAAATTTCAATAATTTTCTTCATTTTTTGTAGATTATATCCCTTCAGATGTTATTGATTTTCAAAAAAAATTGCAAGTTGGGCAGTGGTGGTGCAGGCAGATCTCTGAATGTGAGGCCAGCATGGTCTACAGAGTGAGTTCCAGGACAGCCAGGACTATACAGAGAAACCCTGTCTTGGAAAAAACAACCAAAAAGAAAAGAAAAATTCAGGACAGGACATGGTGGCACAAGCCTATAACACAAGACAGAGGCAGGCAGATCTCTGTAAGTTCGTGGCCAGCTTGGTAAACAGAGCGAGTTACAGGCTAGCCAGGGTTCCATAGTGAGACCCTGTCTCAAAATCTTCATTCCTGTTTCCTAACCCAGAATATAAACTGTAAAGCAAGGATTTAGTGTGCTTTTCTCTTGGTACTCTAGCATAAACCACAGTGCTTGGCATATAATAAATACACAGATAGTAAATAGTAGTTGGACACTTAAGTGTTGATCTGGAAGGAGTGCACATCACTTGACACTATGGCGTCTGATACAATCGTTCAGTCTGCTGGGAGATAGTGTTGGGGAAAAGAAAGATCTTTGTGGTTTGCTCTATCAAAACAAACCCCAAAGTTTTTCTTCAAAGGTTAAGTAGGAAAAAATCAAGCTGGGTATGGTGGATAGTGGCACAGACTTTTAAATGCCAGCACTTAGAAAACTGAGGAAGGCAAAGGCAGGAGGACCAAGTTCAAGGCCAGCCTGGGTCACATGAGACCTTGTCTCAACAGAACAATCTTGGAAGGAGTGTAGGCAGCAGACTGAGGTTCCCTATAAGGGAAAACATTAATTGACATAGCTTACAGTTCAGAGGTTTATCTTCATGGTGGGTGGCATACAAACAGGCATGGTGCTGGAGAAGGAGCTGAGAGTTCTACATCTTGACCTGCAGACAGCAGGAAGTGAACTGAGACACACTTCCTCCAACAATACCACATCTACTCCAACAAAGCCACACCTTCTAATAGTGCCACTTTCCTTGGAAGCCATTTTCTTTCAAACCACCACAGTACTGGTTCTACAAAAATACCAAGCTACGCAATCATAACAAACACCCACAGGGTGTAGCTCGGCCCCATGCAGGCCCACGCTTGCTGCTTCAGTCTCTGTGAACCTCTGTGAGGCCTGCTTAGTTGAGTCTGTGCGCCATGTTCTTGTGGTATCTTTGACTTCTCTGGCTCCTATAGTCCTTCCTACCCCTCTTATCTGGGGTTCCCAAAGCTCTGCCTTATGTTTGGCTGTGGGTCTCTTCAACTGCTCCCATCAGTTGCTGAATGAGGCCTCTCTGGATGACTGGGCTAGGCACCAATCTATGAGTATAACAGAATATTGTTAGTAATGATTTCATTGACTTTTTTGTTTGTTTGTTTGTTTTTTGTTTGTTTTTTTGTTTTCTCTGTAACTTTGGATCCTGTCCTGGAACTTGCTCTGGAGACCAGGCTGGCATTGAACTCACAGAAATCCGACTGCCTCTGCCTCCTGAGTGCTGGAATTAAAGGAGTTCGCCACCATTGCCTAGCTGATGTTTTTAACCTGTCGTGTTTGGTTCTATCTGGGGTTTATGGGCTATCCAGCCTCAGGCCTCTTTTATTGCTGTCATAAGTGTCATCTCTGTCAACAACAGTGGTGATACTGGAATGCTGGCTTTGCAGTTGACCATAGACTTCAAGCAGACTCTTCATTGGGTGGGGGGCTCCTTTCCTGTCCCTATGACTTCCTGTCTTTCCATGTTGCCTCAAAGGAAGTTTAAAGAAATAAGTTGTTTGTCCAAAAGACCTTTAATTGAATAACTACAGGCCAGGTTCATGGTGTTATACTAGCATGTCTGTTATCCCAGCACTTAGGAGATAGAGACAGAAGGATCACAGCAAATTTAAGCCCAACCTGACCTACACAGTGATTTCAGGCTAGCCTGAGATACAATATAAGGTCATATCTCAAACTAACTATGGGAATTAGTCGTGTATTGTCAAAACTGCCGTTGAAGGTCATCTGGGATCTGTATAGCCTTGTTAGACATCAGTACTTTCTGTATTGAGGAAAATCACAACACCAGAGTGGTTAGCTCTTCCAGGCCAGCAGTGTCTGTGGAGACAGTAAGAGAAATGTCTACATAGCAGCTTCACCTCACTTTCATCAGGCCCTGTGAGAAGGACTTGTAGGTCAGCTTCCATGGAAATGGCCGATGAGAGGGTAAGAATGTTTCTTCTCAGAATTAAATTATGGCCGGGCGTTGGTGGTGCATGCCTTTAATCCCAGCACTCGGGAGGCAGAGGCAGGCGGATCTCTGTGAGTTCGACACCAGCCTGGTCTACAAGAGCTAGTTCCAGGCCTCCCTCCCTCCCTCCCTCCCTCCTTTCTTTCTTTCTTTCTTTCTTTCCTTCTTCCTTTTTCAAGACAGAGTTTTTCTATGTAGCCCTGGCTGTGCTGGAACTTGCTCTAGACCAGGCTGGGCTTGAACTCACAGAGATCCACCTGCCTCTGCATGCTGGGGTTGAAGGTGTGCGTCACAATGCCTGGCCAAACACAGCATCTTCGAAGATCAATAAAGAGACCTAAAACTGGAAGATGGAGGTTGACAGAAAAAACAAAAAACAAAAACAAAAAACCTGGTTTCCTTGGCAGTTAGGTTAAAGGAAAAAAAATAAAACAATTATCCAGGCAGTGGTAGAGCACATCTTTAATCCCAGCACTCAGGAGGCAGAGGCAGGCGGATCTCTGTTTGAGACCAGCCTGGTCTATAAGAGCTAGTTCCAGGACAGCCTCCAAAGCCACAGAGAAACCCTGTCTCAAAAAACCAAACCAAAGGACACAAAAAAACCCAATTACCTTGGCATCTTTGGCATCATGTGGGACCCCAGCATAAACATCTTGCTCATGTTTATCGGGGTTTATAGGAATTTCACATGACTTGTGGAAGATTTCCCAAATCTTGACATTTGTGAGTTCACAAAGTACCTAAAACACAGCAAAGTTCCTTGGGTCTACCTCATAGTAGTAGCTCCAGACCTTGGTAATATGTTGGGGAGAAATGGGAAGGCTGTGAAAACCCAAGTTGGAATTCCTGGAAATTTAGTTTGAGGCCCAAGAGAAGTTTGATGGAAAAAAGGAATCATACGAAGAGTTAAGAAGCTGACAAAGGAAGGAAGGAAAGAAGGAAGGAAGGAAGGAAGGAAGGAAGGAAGGAAGGAAGGAAGGAAGGAAGGAAGGAAGGAAGGAAGAAGATAACTGAGACGTGGAAATTAAGAGCAGGTTAGTAGGAAGAATTCGGACTCTTCTCCTGTTTCTAAGCCTAACATGCCTCCCCTGCACCTGCCTCCAGTGGGAGCCCGTGACTTCTCTAGATCAGCTTCATGAAAAAAATCAATGAGATGAGGAACATGTTCAGCTCTCTGGAGAACAAGGTAGACTGACTATGTTCTAATTCTTGGGTTGTCCTTGTCCTGTAAGATCAGAGAGCTGAAGAAAGTGCATGTTAAGATCCCGACTTCCAAATTGTTTTACTCACAAGGTCGAGTTGGTATGCAAGGCCAGTCCGCCCCTAGCTGAAGATGGCTTTAAGAGCCCAGGTATCTCACGCATGATTCCACATCTCAGCCACATGTGTGCACACTCCCCCCCACATCATGTGTGCACACACACACAGTAATCATAACTATTGAAAATGATTGGAATGGAAAGTAGGTCAACGGTGGTACTCCCTGGCCTCTGAGCGCCAGCTGCTTCATAGGCTCTACTTATTCTCCTCAGAACAATCACTTCTGGTTCTTCTTATTTCTCCTTATTCCCAGGCCTAGAAGAAACCACTTGTGAAAACAATAGAACCCTTGGGTCTGGGGAGATGGCTCAGCGGTTAAGAGCACCGACTGTTCTTCCAGAGGTCCTGAGTTCAATTCCCAGCAACACCTGCCCCCCCAAAGAAAACAATAGAACCCAAACATCTGTATTTAAGAGATGTGGTATATGACACTAAGCCATAGCGGAGGATAGCGGAGCAGCTTGGAATCATTTGGATGAACTGGTTTTGGAAATGTCTAGAAGTATGCACATGTAGAGACATATGTGTGAATTTTCACGGTGCCTGTGCTTTACCTTCAGCTCCTTACTTGGTAGAAAATAGTCTTATTGTTAAATTATGTGAATATGTACATGTCTGTATGCAGATTTTGTGTATGAGCACAGTGCCAGAGCAGGCTGGAAGAGGACCTCTGATGTCCTGGAGCTGGAATTAGAGGCAGTTGTGAGCTGCTTGATGTGGGTGGTGGCAGCCACACTGTGCTCTGTGAGAGCAGAAAGTGCTCTTAGCGACTGAGCCATCTCTCCAGACATGTATTTTAAATTATAGAATAAGCCTTCTGAATATTTCTGTTTAGAAGAGAGATGTGGATCTAAGAGTTCTATGTCTAATCAGACATGAAAATCAAGCAACAACGTTATCTTAATTTAGTGCCTGTTGAGTATATTTTACATTTGCTCTGTAAATAAAACAGATCTTTCAAAGTGTGCCCTTCTCTCCACAGTTCTGTTTGAGTTTACCCTTTTGATTCACCACCTAGAGAGGAAATAAATAAAAAAAACTTGGAGCACCTCTGCACCAAGCATATGTGTAGAGGCTCTTTATCTCCATTTCCTTATTTCATACAGCCCTGTAAAATAGGTGTCATTATTATAATTATGGATAAGCAAACTACTACCCAGAGGTTAGCCAGTTTGCCTTCATACACCGTCCTTATGTGAGGAAGCCAGGATTTATGCCCTACCTGGCTCCAGAATTGATCTCTTGCCAGTGTTTAATCAGCAGATGTGCAGTGGTTGCTCTCCCCCTTGCTCTGGCCTCCCTACTGAAGATGACTCACATCAAAGCCCATTGTTAAAAATGCCACTGCTGCCGGCCTGTGGCGACACACTCCTCTAATCCCAGCACTCAGGAGGCAGAGGCAGGTGTCAAAACTTAAGAAAGAAAAAGCTACCTTTTTCTTTTCAAAGAAACTCCTACTAATATTTATTACTCTACTTTTTAAAAAGACGTATTTTTGTTGTTTGTGTGTATGTGTGTCTGTATGATTGTATGTACACACGTGTGTGCAACTGCCTTTGACACCTTTGTCAGAAGGTGTCAGATCTCCTGCAGTTAGAATTACAGATGGTTGTGAGCTGCTTGACATGTGTCCTCTAGAAGAGTGTCAAGTGCTCTTAACCACTGAGCCAGTTCTCCAGCCCCCGTCTTATTTTTTACTTCTTTGGGGGTGGGTGGGAAAGGGCTGAATTTCTTTATATCCTGGTGATAATCAGAGAATCAGAGAGATTCTGGCATATCACTTCTCTCACAGAATTTAGGTGCTGGATCAGGATTGCCTTTTTACATACATGTTATTTTCCAAGTAAGCCTTATATCCTCTCTCTCTCTCTCTCTCTCTCTCTCTCTCTCTCTCTCTCTCTCCTTTTTGAGACAGGGTTTCTCTGTGTAGCCCATTTGCCCTGGAACTCACTCTGTAGACCAGGCTGGCCTTGAACTCACAGAGATCTGCCTGCATCTGCCTCCCAAGTGCTGGGATTAATGGTATATGCTGCCACCACCATCTGGTTTAAGTATGCCCCATTCTTATATCAAGGGCTCTTTAATCGTGCAGCAGTCACAAGTACCTGTGAACCAACTGCTCATTTTGTTGTCACTTGTCAAACTTCAATAGACACTGCATAAATGACCGTTTCCCTGGACAAATGGGGTGAGTCACCTAAAAGAGTCTGGAGTTGGGTAAATGAAGCATCTGAGATTTTTCAGAAGCTTGTTTTCTCAAAGAAAGGAAAAGATCAAAGGTCAATGGTGCCATTTATAATAATTTATAGCAAGTCAGGTTCACTCTTCCTGAATTTAGTTGCAGGCCCTGGCCTCAGAACTAAAAACTGGCTTCACAGAAGCAATGCAGGAACTGACGCGCATCCAGCATGGAGAGTATGCTTTGGAAGAGAAGGTCAAGAGCTGCAGATGCTCCATGGAAGAGAAAGTCACCGAGATGAAGAATTCATTAAACTACTTCAAGGTGGGAGCTGCCTTTATTTCCCTGATGAAGGAATATGTCAGTTCCAGTACCAAAAGCAGGGAATTTGCCTTTTCTTGTAGCAGCCCAGGGTAAGAACTTTCCCTCTGTGCTATTTGTTAGTCATCATGGAACAATACCTAGCTCATGGGTTTCAGTTTCTGAGCTCTATGTTAAAATTAGAGGCCACAATGAAAACAAACTTTGTCTCTTATTCCCTGTCCACCCAAAGTATACACAGGAAAAGGCTTATAGGATGCAGACCTATGTTCTCTTACCTCATTGCCTTAGTTAGGGTTTCTACTGCTGTGAAGAGACACCATGACCACATTTACTCTTATAAAGGAAACATTTAAATGGTCTGGCTTACGGTTTCAGAGATTTAGTCCATTATCACCATAGCAGGATATGGCAGTAGGCAGGCAGACATAGTGCTGGAGAAAGAGCTGAAGGAGCTACATCTTGATCCTGCAGGCAACAGGAAGTGGTCTGAAACACTGGGTGTGTTTCACCTTAAAGCTGGCCTCCACAGTGACACACTTCCTCTAACAAGGCCATTCCTACTCCAGTGATGCTGCACCTCCTAATAGTGCCACTCCCTATGAGCTTATGGGGGCCAATTACATTCAAACTGCTACACCCATGTGACAGTCTAAAATGTAGCAATTCTCATGTTGTAGGAAGAGCTGAGCAATGCAATGTCCATGATTCAGGCCATCACTTCCAAACAAGAAGAAATGCAGCAGAAAATCGAACAGCTTCAACAGGAGAAGCGAAGAGAATCTCGAAAGGTTAAAGCCAAGTGAGCATCTTGAGAGCATTTACCCCAGGCAAACCCCATAAGTAATGGCTCTTGCACAGAGGCCCTGAGAAAACTTCTGGCTATTAGCACATAAGGAGTGGGCTCCTGAGCAGCTGGAAGAGATGAGGTTATACAAGCTGGTTAATACTGGGGCTGGAGTGAAGGCCCAATGGTCAAGAGCACGGGTTGCTCTTACAGAGGACCAGAGTTCAGTTCCCAGCACCACACCAGGTCTCCCAAATGCCTGTAACTCCAACTCTGGGGAATCTGGCACCCTTTTCTGGCCTCTGCAGGCAAATGGGCATACACACACACACGCACACACACACACACACACACACACACACACACACACACACACACTGTATACTTGTCACGTATCCATAAGTCCTTTTGAGGACCAGAGAGCATGGATTTCCAGGACCCACATAAATGTTATGTGGAGGTTTAATCTAGCTAGTGAGACTAGTCATATTGGTGAGCTTTGGGTTTGACCCTGTCTCAGGGAAATAAGGTAGAGGGTGATGGAGGACAATTCACAACTTCAAGTCTAGGCCTCCACATGCATGGCCACACACCCACATACATGTGCCCACATGCTGCTTATGTGCCCTTGTGCACAAATGGAAAACAATGCTACAGTTTTCTGGTACTTGGGGTTGAGTTGTTGAGTGAGTGTAAGTCATCCCAAGAAAGTATCCAATACTGCAAACTTTAAAGACCTTGATAAGAGCCAAGCATGGAGACCATGCCTTTAATCCTAGCAGTCAGCAGAGGCAGGAGGATCTACAGAGCAAGGGTCAACATAGCAAGCCCAGGATAGATATATATATATATATATATATATATACACTTTTTTAGGTTTTCAAGACAGGGCTTCTCTGTATTGCTTTGGAGGTTGTCCTGGAACTCACTCTGTAGACCAGGTTGGCCTCAAACTTGCAGAGATCCTCCTGGCTCTGCCTCCCAAGTGCTGGGATTAAAGGTGTGCACCACCAACGCCCAGCTTCATTTATAATTTGTAAACCATATGTTTATATGGTTCAACCTGTGTGTGCCTTGGCACATTGAAACAAACAAACAAACAAACAAACAAACAAAACCTCATTCTCTGGCATGATCCTGAACTGAGCCTCCCCTGAATCTACTGGGTGTTAAGAACCAAAGCATCCTTTCTGTTGTCTCCTTTTCTAGGAAAGCCCAAAAGGAAGAGCATAGCGCACAGGCCGGAGCTGCATCTGCACCTGCGCAAGCACAAGGGAGCCCCTTCCGCTCCATCAATGTCCCCGAGTCTGGTCTCCCCAGTGAAGACTTCACCAACATTTTGCCTTCTCAGACCTATGAAAAAGGTACAGTTCATAAACCATGTGGAATTAACCACACTTATTTCTCCCTGATTCCTAGGGCTTGAGTAAAAGTAAGAATGGACTCATGTCCTGCGTCCTCTTCAGAAGAAAATAAAATATATTGCCCAGAACTTTCCTGGTATCTAGACATCAGAAGGCATCAGATGACTTCTGGTTCCTGAAAGACTGCCCATTTGTGTGGAAAATACTAATTTGGTTTCTTCTAAGTGTCAATTAGATGAAAATAATTTAGTGAAACCAATACTATACTAACCACGAGAGAACTAGATATATTTTAAAAGTCACTCTGAAAAGTTATTTACTGGTGGTGTAACTCAGTATCTATGTTTCTCTGGAAAAGCCAGGCTAGTGCTATGTGTAGGCTGAAACAATCACCAACCACTTGCTGACTGTACAGCTGTGAGAAATAAGATGGCATGCTGGCAGCACCAAAGGAGTTGACTTTTCAAGTGTTTTGATTCTGTCCCTATGCTCAAATCAGGAAAAATAAAACAAATTGAAATTTGCTACATCATTATATTCTCAAGAATGTCCCACAAAGCACACATAAAGAAAAATGAGTATAGAAATTACCATAGTTTGAATCCCCCTCTTCTTGTTTTAGTCTTATATGGAAAGTCCTCAAAAGGTAGGCACAATGTGATTTTTTTCAATCAAGTGTAGTGTAAACATCTCAGCGGTAGGGTTCATGATTTTCTGAACTCTCAGCCCACGAAGAACTTGCTTTCCCGATTCATAGACAGTGAGTGTGTTATGAATAACTGAACCTAAATTCCTAGGGCAAGTGGCTTTCACTTGGTGAACTTCTGAGTACAGAGTTGCTTGATTATTAGTCTTTTGCTTGTACATATGAGTACTCATTTTAGTAGTCAGTGAGTGCAGCCTGGGGGACAGTTGTTCAAACAATCTGAGAGGGGATTCTACCAGTGGTCCTGTTTTCTTGGCTCTATGATGTGATGAGCAAGACACATCAAGTTGACCATGCAGGTGAGGACACAAGATGGGGTCGGATGAGTGGTCAGATCAGAACCAGGTCTGGGGCAGCTGTGTGTGTTCACAAGATAGCATCTTAAAATATAGATTTGCAAAGCAAGTTTGTGCCTCTCTATACTATATGTGATAGCCCTCAGGAATAAGTCCATGGGATTTTTTTTTTCTTTTAGTTTTTCAAGACAGGGTTTCTTGTGTAGCTCTGGCTGTCCTGGCACTCACTCTGTAGACCAGGATGGCCTGAAACTCACAGAAATCTGCCTGCCTCTGCCTCCTGAGTGCTCCCAAGCTCCCACCACCCAGCTTGTCTGTGTGATTTCCCCTCAGTTTTCCCACTGAAAACAGGTGCATTGCCCACATGCATGTATTTATTTAAATTTTTATTTATTATTATTATTACTATTATTATTTTGTATGACTGCAAGTGAATAGGTGCCACAGCCTGGGTATGGAGGCTAGTGAACAACTTTTGACTGTGGTTCCCTTTCCACCATGAACTTCAGATCAGAGTCAAGCCATGAGCCTTGTGTGGCAAGCACTTTTCTCTGCTGAGAATGTAAATCCACAGGCTGGGTTTAAATTATCTTCTCACTGGCAACCTTTCCTTCCCTCCTTGTGATTGAGACATCCTCATAGTTTGTTCTCCCCATTGCTGCAAAAATTTTGGAATGTTGTCATTCCTAATATATCATGCATACAATAATTGGTGGTAGCTCATATTAAAATTCAGGTTAAAGTGTAAAAGCCTCAGAAAATTTTGTTTATCCATTTTTAATGATACAATGGTGTGATTGTTGTCTGTTATCCCCAAATTCAGTAGCTTCAAGCAGCAAATATTTATTACTCAGTTTCTCTGAGTGCACAATTGACCTGGGGACCACTTACTTACATCTGTCATGAGGTAGATTGCCATCAAAGTGCTGGCCACAGCTGTTGTCATATGAGGGCTGTACTCAGAGGACATCTCCTTCCAGGCTACACACATGGTGTGGCAGTCCCTGTAATATGGACATCTCAACATGGCACCTGGCTACCCTCTGCCCCCTGTCTGGGGTATTAATCTGACAGGATGCTTAAAACAAAAGCTGTAGCTTTTAGTAACCTACTCTTGGAAGAAACAGCTCTGCCTTCCTGCCATATTCTATTATTCAGAAGAAAATCACTAAATCCAGCATCACTCACAAGAAGGAGTCACAGAATGGTGATGCCGAGGGGTAAGGACAACCAGGGAGCCATCTTAGATGCCTAACTCTTCTTTTTCTTTCTTATTAAAATATTTTAATTATGTTAAATTATGTATATGTATCCATATGTGGGTATGTGTATGTAAGTTCAGCAGAGACATCAGATCCCCCTGGATTTGGAGTTACAAGCAGTTATACGGCACCCAATGTGGGTGCTGGGAAAATGAATTCAGGTCCTCTGCAAGAGTAGTATGTGCTCTTAAGCCCAGAGCCATCTCTTCAGCCCTGTCCTTCATTTTAAAAGATGTCTCCAGATGTGTGTCCTCTGATGTGAAGCTTCTTTCATATGTATTAGAATTAAAAAGCTTGAAATGTCATTTAAAAATGAGACAACGCTCTTTTTTCAGGCTTATTTTATTTTATGCGTATGAATGTTTTGCTGACATGTCTGTGTACCACAGGTATGCCTGGTGCTTGTGGGGGTCAGAAGCAGGAGGTGGGTACCCTAGAACTGGAGTTATTGAGGATTGTGCACCACCAGATGGGTGCTGGGAACCGAAACCTTTTACCCTGCAAAAGCAACAGGACGCCTAATTCCTTAGCCATCTCCCTGGCCCCTGAAAATATCATTTTACAACACGAAGTAAGACCTTTGGACTCTTCTAGCCTTCAAGAAGACTTTTAAAACTGCAGTTATCCTCTCCGGTCCTTCTGCTTGTTCAGAACATCTGAAAGCTAACCCCCTTTTTTATGCTGTATATATTAGGCATTGTCCCCACTACCCACTTATATTCCCAGGCCTAGAAGCTGACTTTCTTGAAGGATATGGTTCCACCATCTATTTCTTCTTAATTATGTCCTATGTATTCAACCATCTGAATATTGATACCTTCTAAAGCTGTTTCCTTACCCGTTCTTGTTCCATAGAATTTTTAAAAAATTAGGATTCCTTTTATTTATTTGTTGGGGTGAGTATGTGGAAGTCAGATGGCAACTTCTCAGGTCTTTACCCACTGAGTCATCTCTCCAGCACTCCTTCCCTTTTGTATAGTCTTCTGATACCTTTGATACCTGCTTTCTCAAAGTGTTTTCTTCTGCTGGCTGATACCGAGCTTCTTTGATTTCCTTCTATTTTCTGCCTACTCATAAATTTCTCTTTTTGGTTTCTTACTGCTATCAGAATCAAAGTCTAACTTCTTCTTTTGACTTTTCAAGACAGGGTTTCTCTGTGTAGCCCTGGCTGTCCTGGAACTCACTCTGTAGACCAGGCTGGCCTCAAACTCACAGAGATCCACATGCCTGTGTGTGCCACCACTGCCCTGCAAGTCTAAACTTTCTTCGCATAGTTTCCAAGGTCATGTACTAACTACATACATAAAATTCTGCTTTTCTCTTCTCTTTGGTTGTCTCTACTTCTACCTCTATAGTCCACCCCAGTAGTCTTTAGGCCTTGCTGTCTCGATATATTCTGTGGGCCACTGGACCTTGACATAAGATCGTCGCTCTACTTGTCTCCCTCTGTCTCTTCTTTACTAGTTCATCCACATCAGGCTACTTCTTGTCTCAGTGGTCCAATCGCAGATACAAACAGTGATGAAGCAGGAAAAGGATCTTATTTCATTGAGGCTCTGAAGATGGCTATCATCTGAAGCCTTTCTTTCAATCTGTCTTTCTTCTTTCTTTCCTCCTTCCTTCCTTCCTTCCTTCTTTCCTTCCTTTCTTTCCTTCTTTCTTCCTTCCTTCTTTCTTTCTTTTTGGTTTTTCGAGACAAGAGTTTCTCTGTGTAGCTTTGGAGGCTGTCCTGGAACTCACTCTCTAGACCAGGCTGGCCTAGAACTCACAGAGATCTGCTTGCCCCTGCCTCCTGAGTGCTGGGATTAAAGGCATGTGCCACCACCAACCTATTGGATTCTTATGGTAGCTGCTTGTAGTAGGTATCACTTAGTGGGTATCATTAACAGTTGAGAAACTAGTATTGGCTCCACTGTACTGCATCACTCCCCTGCTGTCTCTCTCGTCAATCATGAATGAAACTATAAAATCTGTAAGTCTGTCTTTGTCCTGAGTCGTAGAAGGTACTTATCCATGTTGGTAGAATGGATGCTGAATTAAGCTTTCCTTTCTCTGCAGCTCAAGAGTCCAGATCAGTTCATGTAGGAGATGGCAATGTGAAGGGAATGATGGGCCCTGGTAAGTGCTTCTTCTTGGTTTAAGTTTTTATTATGTTATGCACGTATAATATGTGTGTACCCATGCTACTGCACAGGTGTGGAGGTCAGAGGATAACTGTGTGGAGTTGGTTCTCTCATTCCGTCTTTATGGTTTCTAGGAATTGAACTTAGCTTGTTGAGCTTGCAAGACAAGCTCTTTACCTACTGAGTCAATGAACAGGTCCAGGTACCTTCCCTGCTCTACTGGTCTGTCCTGAGCCAAGTGGGAAAGGACTCAGACATGTTAATCAGTTTCTTGACTCTGACAACTTCAGGTTGGAGACATTTATTTTAGCTCCTGGTTTCAAAGGTTTCAATCCATGGTCAGATCACTTTGTTGCTACAGACATTAGATGAGCAGAACAGCATGATGGGAAGCCTGTGACTTAAGATGTTGTTTACTTTACGGCACCCAGGAAGCAGAGGGAATAATAGAAAGGAGTTGGGGACAATGTACACATTAGTAGGGCATATCCCCAGTGGCCAATTTCTCCCAGCTTTGCAGCCTGTCCTGGAACTCTCTCTGGAGACCAGACTGGCCTCGAACTCACAGAGATCCACCTGTCTCTGCCTCCCAAGTGCTGGCATTAAAGGTGTGTGCCACCACCACCCAGCTATAAATTTTTCTTGCATCACATACTTTATAGTTTAATCCAAAATTTACCTCATTGATAATTAACCAGAATTTATGTATTATTTAATCTTCCCTCCATCCTTTCCTTTTTCTGTTTCTTCCAACTAAGCATCCATAGGCTAAAGGGACTAAATAACAAACAAAACATCCCCCCATACCCTTTGGTACTCTTTCCTCTCTTCTTTCTGTTCTTCCTTTTAACAATTTTGCCTCCTATGTTTACCTGAAAGTAAGTAGATACACGGAGTCAAAACTGTTGCTTTAAATCATACTATGCTGTAAATTTTCTAGTCTAGTAGTCTAGTCTATTGAGTCACAGTCTCATGTATATAGCCTGGCTGGCCATGAAATTTCTACAAAGCTAAGGATAACATTCAATTCCTGATCCTCCTACCTCCATCTCCCAAATTAATTACAGACTTCTTTATTTTGTGGCATCCATGTTTAAAAAAAAATCAGAAGGCATATGGACCAGAAAAAAGAGAGAGATGACTGCTTGTAGTTTGGAAAATTTTTAACCCTTCATTGAGCTAGCAGTATATTAATTAAGAGTTAGTAACAAACACTGTTTTCTTTCTCAAAAAAGAAAGTTCTTAGAGCTAGAGAGATATCTCAGAGGTTAAGAGCACTGGCTGCTCTTCCAGAGGTCCTGAGTTCAATTCCCAGCAATCACATGGTGGCTCGCAACCATCCGTTATGAGATCTGGTGCCCTCTTCTGGCCTGCAGGCATACATACCGGCAGAACACTGTATACATAATAAATAAATCAAATCTTAAAAAAATAGTTCTTGGGGCTGGAGAGATGACTCAGAGTAAAGAGCACTGACTGCTCTTCCAGAGGTCCTAAGTTCAATTCCCAGCAACCACATTGTGGCTCACAGCCATCCGTTATGAGATCTGGTGCCCTCTTCTGGAGTGCAGATATACATGGAAGCAGAATGTTGTATACAATAAATAAATAAAATAAAAAAATAGTTCTTTCTAGCAGGCATTGTTTTTCAGGAGTGAACCCAACAAATCCAGAAGCAGATGAAAACCTTAATAAGCCTTCTCTCTCAGCTGAGATCCAGTCTAAGGGCCATCACACTCCTGGCCTGTGGAGACAGCCCAAGGATGGCAACGAATGGAGCGAGGAATATGTCACAAAAGATCACCCAGATAAACTCAAGGAGGCTGGCCAGGGCAGACACAGTTCCCTGGAAAATGTTTTATGTGAAACCTCTTTAGCTGGTAAGTTATGAGGGAGAATGTGGGTAGAAATATGAAACAATGAGGTGTATGAGAGTTTGGAACAGAAGGGCCAGAACTACCACAGTTCATGGAGAGAACACACGACACCACCTTGTATCTTTTTAGGATGAGGCCCCTCATGCCTGCAGAGGTGAAGGGACTCACTCAGCAGAGGTTACATACCCTGGTAGGACCCCCACCTTGACCCTGGGTATTTATGACATTCTTTGGTTAAAAAAAAAAGAAAAAGAAAGCTATGGTCTTGGAGAATTATCTATTTAGTCAGCGATACAGAATTTGCAGGGCTGGAGAGATGGCTCGGCAGTTGTAAGCACTGGCTTCTCTTCCAGAGGACCTAGGTTCAGTTTTCAGCACCCACATGGCAGTTCACAACTATCTGTAACTCAAATTCCAGTGGATCTAACACTTTCATACAGACATACATGTAGGCAAAACTCCAATGCACAGAAATAAAGAAATTTCAAAAAGAATTTGACATATGCCAATTATTTATTAATAGTCTGCCACCAAAATATCAAACACTGCAATAAGCTCTTGTCTTCCTTCCTTTTTTTAATTCTGTCCTTCCTTCCCTTCATGTAGTAAATGAGCACTCTCCACATTTGGAGGGAAGTAATTTTTCTTAATATTATTTTAATCAAATACATGAAAATTAGATAGAACTAGAAACTTTTAAATTATTATTAACAAGAAACATGAGCAGCCACTTTGAGGTGTATGAGAGTTTGGAACAGAAGGGCCAGAACTACCACAGTTCATGGAGAGAACACATTTTTGACATTTTGACATTACTCTGAGAACACATTTTGTCAAAAAGAGAAATTCTTTTTGACAGTTTCTCTTGGTACTTGTGTCTTAATTCCTTTTTTGTTGCTGTGTAGAACACCACAACCAAAGCAACTTATAAAAGAAATCATTTACTTTGGCTTCCAATTTTAGAGGTCATGGCAAGGCTGAGAGTTCACATTATGACCCACAAGCACAAGTCAGAGAGAGAGAGAGAGAGAGAGAGAGAGAGAGAGAGAGAGAGAGAGAGAGAGAGAGAGAGAGAGAGAGAACTGGGAATCACATGAGTCCTTTGAAACATCAAACCCCCACCCCCAGTAACACACTTCCGCCAACAAGGTCACACCCCCAATCCTTCCCAAACAGTTCCACCAACTGGGGTCCAAGTTGAGCCTATGGGGGCCTTTCTCATTCAAACACCATGACTTGCTTCATATTTTGTGCTATTTTGTAAACAATACTTTGTTGAAAGTTAATTTACATCAAGTAAAATCCATGGAGTTACATCCAAACTTAAAAAAAAATTTAATGTGTATGAGTGTGTGTACAGTGTGTATGTGCAGGTGTCCATGCTACAAGGATGTGTACTATTGTGTGAGTGTGGGCATTGTGTGGTAAGTGTCCTAACCACTGAGAAACCTTGTGGGCCTTATCTTATGAGTTTAAGTAAATGTTTTATTTATTCTTTGAGAGTTTATTTTGATCATATTTATCCCCATCCCTCCTACTAACTCTCCCAGACCCACCCTTCACTGCTCCATCCTGTGACAATTTTGTGTCCTAATTTTGTTTTGTTTTTATAAAATGTCCAATTTGTGCTGCCCATAAGCTCCAGGCTATGGGGGTCACTCAAGCATCATTGACCCACTGGGGGGCCATTCCTGTAAGGGGAAGAGACTCACCCTTTCAGCTTGACTTTTTACATATGAATATTGACTATGATCACTACCAAGGTCAACATATATGTTTCTGTTATGCTAGGAATTTCTCTCATGCTTCATTTTATGTGAAGAACCACTGTAACTACTATATAGTTTCATCTGTTCTTGAACTTCATATAAATGGGATAATATTGTGTATTCTTTTTTGCCTGATATCTTTCTCTCAATATGTGTTTTTGAGATTCATCTACATTGTTACATGTAATTCATTTAGTAGTTCTTTTTTATTAACTTCACTGCATGTCATTGTCACATTTTTAAAAATCCATAATCCAGAGCCAGAGAGATGGCTTGTGGTTAAGAGCACTGGCTGCTCTTCCAGAGGACCCAGGTTCAATTCCCAGCACCCACATGGCAGCTCACAACTGTCTGTAAACTCCAGTTCCACAGGATCCAACTCCAGCCCATATATATATACCAAGGTATATAAAATAAAAGTAAATTATTAAAAGATAGCATCCAGTAATTGTTAAGTGGGTAGAATACTTTGTATATACTTTTTGAGAATATTAATTGTAAGATTTAATTTTCACATACATATTTGTTTTGTCTCTCCTATGATATATTCTTATTCAAATGTCTCAGTATCCTTAATTATTTATGTGTTCAATAAAGATTATCCTCCTAAATAAATAAATAAATAAATAAATAAATAAATAAATACGCCCTCCCAATAACCTGGAATTTTGTGTTATCCAAGCCTGTCAATAGTGGCTTCATTATAAATATGCTTATTAGGTAGTACATTTACATATTGGGAAGTGATCTCTTTATGTCATGTCTTATGCTTTTCTGTAACAAGTGGCAAGCTGCCCAGCCTCCTGTCAGGAGTGCTGAAGCCTGGCTGCTGGCATTCTGGGACCTGAAGGGGAATGTGTGTGTCTTTCTCATTAGCTCAGGCTAGGG